ATGGTGGGGCAACTCGTGTGGAGTAGAAGGAAGATGAAGATACGAAGAAGAGCTTGACAATGGTGGACGAGAAGGATGACCAGTTCTAAGATTACAGTAACCCACTAAAACAACAACAAATGAAGTCGAGGCAAAAAGAAATAGAAACACAAAATATTTTTATCTTTTTATATTTATAAATAGTCGTTTAACTATTCAACTTTTCTAGAACACACACACACTTGTTTTTACAGAGTTTACATATAGATGAGGTTTATGCATTTGTATGTTACAGCTTTGGTTTTATTTATTTTTTTCTTATGGAAACAGATTAGCATAAATATTTTTTATTACCTGAACCCCAACTTCTTTGCAGGCTTCAATAATGGTCTTTGTTCCCATATAATTGACTCGGTAAAATAGTTCCCTGTTGTCGCTGGAAGGTGCGGGTGATGCACAGTGGAACACAACATTCACTCCCTGTAACGCTGGCAATAAATCCTAGCACACAGAGCAAACAAAGCAGCATGAAATCCTCACCAGCATGACATTTTGGTAAACATTTTTAATTTACAATTAACAGAATAATACCCCACAACTCACCAGAGACATGACTGGACCGCACTAATTGGATATATAAAGCCTGCCCTTGGCTTTAGGATATTTACATTTCCAATAATGTTCTTAAAGCTATAATACGGGCAAAGCACCAGGGGAGGTTTAGTTCACAACATCTGGAGCGCCAAAGGTTGCCTACCCCTGTCCTAAGTCAATGCTTTCAGCTGTGATTTCAAGCAGCCACCAACCTTATCTCTATTACACTTAGAAAACAAAACTTCCTTTTAATTTTGAGCAGAATTTCTAATTTGGCCACTAAAGAGAATGTGTGGCAGCAACAATACACACAAATTCAGTGTGACACACACAGGCGTCCAACACACTATTACTGGGCAGAGGGAGCATGGGACAGGCTCCTGCTGGTAATCTGTGGTGTGTGTAGTTTGTGTGCATATTGGTCAGTGAGTGTGTGTGTGTGTGGGTGTGTTTGTTCGCGCATCAGTGTGCATTGTGTTACAGTGTATCACAGCCACCACATGCAACCAGCACAGTCAGTACTCACCATTCGCACATGACACACAGTGAGTACAACGCACATAGATGACACACAGCAAAAACACACACTATTAAAAGAGACTATGGGAGGGCAGAGGGTGAGACACTTAGGGTAATTCACAATCCTTTTTGCAAAATAAATTCAAATGGCAAAACAGAGGCAAAAATGTTGTAAATGAAGCAGAGGTACAGAATTTACCCACATCATCTATTTTTGCCTCCATTACTCCTTTCAGTATTATTCTGAAAAAAATGTAGAGTTCAGTAAATAGCCCTGTCAATGCTCACAGCTCTTGGCAGGGGACCCAATCATTTCAACTGAAATTATTTTGTGTCAGGACAAGTACATTGGGCTACCTGTTTAATCCCTTGTACACACCCCTGTCCCAGGTTCTTTTTATAACAACTTTCAACAGTGTTTGAATTGGATGGTTTATTTTTTCAGTTTAAGATGATGCAGATTTTTTTTTTTTTTTAAAGGATTTATAAAACATTTCAGAAATACAAGGTATGCAGCTATGATCGGCAAACCAAACATATGGAGGTTATAATAAAATATTTAACCAATTGACAAGAGCTTGGCTTTTCCTCTTACCTTTTTGGTACATAGATCTCCAATAAAAAATTGCACCCGGTCATTTTCAAAACCTTGCCGGATATCAAAAACATTGACAGAGTATCCTCTGTCTAATAGACGCTCTACCATGTACTGTCCAAGAAAGCCACTGCCTCCAATTACTGTACATTTCTTGCTCGCCTGCAACACAACAAAATAACACAATGATATTAGCAGAAGTGAATGAAAGATGGCACTGTCACTTCTTGGAATGTAACAGTTCCATTTATGGAAAGTTAGTAACTGTAGTAATATTAAATATAAAAACTAGTAGGGCTGCAACTGAATTGTTTTTATAATATATAATAATGCCTCCACATCTACTTTTATTTAGCCACCCTCCATTTTAGTTACAATTTTGCAGCTAGAGCATGGGGATCAAGCTGGGACAGAGCTGTGAGCTGCAGGCTCCTCTCCTCATGTAAGGCTTCTGTGAGTGCTGGCAGGAAATGATTTGCCATCACCTCCTCCCAGTGCTACCGCAGCAGAATGATGAAGGCGCAGCTAGTACAATCCGTTAAAGTCCACCAGGGTTCCATAATGCAGTCCGGTCTTTATGGGTCCCACTGCACGACCAGACAGCACCGACCATCACCCCCTGATGGCCACCCCCTCTTATCAACCCACAATACCAGTGTCTCTAAGAGCTCTCAACAGTGGTGTATGACTGTGAAATGACTGTGTACATGGGTGTGTGTTTCTGTAGAGCATCGGTGTGTGAACGTAAGAATATATGTCTATATAGTATCAGTGTGCAAACATGGCGGCATATTTATGTGGAGGCAGTGTGTCAACATGGGGGTGTATTTCTGTGGATACCAAAGAACAAATGAGAGACAGCAGTGGAGATGGTGTTGTGTATGTGGAGGCTGTGTGGATGTATACACTTATAGTGCTGTGTGTGGGGGTAGGCTGTCTGAGTGTTGTGTGGGTGGAGATTGCTTGTGGTATTGCATGTTTCATTATATTACTAAAGACATCTAAGGCTCTCCACCGACCATTCAAGTGTACATGATGTTTGTAGAGATACCACTTGTGGAGAAGGAGGATGTTGCTTGTGGTGTTGTGTTTGTGGGAAGGTTGCATGTGAGACAGCATATATGTTTTTGTGTGTGGTGATGGTGTGTGTGTGTGTGATAGGGCCTGTATTGTGTGTGGTGAATATGGGCGATAGTGTGTGTGGGAGGTAGGATTAATGGACTGTAGTATGTGAAGCGGAAAGAGGGGTAGTGGCGTGGAAGGTTGGGGTAGTGGTGTGGGGCAGGGGTAGGGGCTGTGGAGGAAGGGGGGCGCAGGGAAGTTTGCTGGGCAGATAAAGGCTTTAGACTAGGCATTGAAAAAAAAAAAAAAAATGTGAACTATTAGTGTAGGACTCAAGAGGTTTTGCCTTGAGGTAGCAGGTGAGCTTACACCTAAATGGCCATTGGAGTGATACTAGAAAACCTCCAGTTATTTAAATTTGCAGAGAGATTTGGGATAGTGTGTAAGTAACTTTTACTTTGGTTTTTATTGTATATATTGAGGTTGAGTACTAGCATCATTGCTGCAGCCCAGGAGTAGTATGAGTCTGAGCACAGGGCTTAATTTTGTATGTTTGTAATGGATAAATATATATATACACATAAAAAAATAAAAATGTTTATCTCCCCCTCCTTCTTGCTAACTTTGGTGGTCCAGTGGGCTGATATCTGGTCTGAACCTCCAGGAGGTGTTTGAATAGATATAGTGATTTGTGTACTATGTAATGCTTGTGAAATATAAAAGCACCGACATATAAAATTAATGATTGGCTACATTTATGAAACAATTTAAGTTATGCATTTAAAAAAGAACTCACGGGTCGTAATCTTGTGGTCATGATGATAAGGTCTGAGATAAAACGATCTGTTAAAAAAAAGATAATCATTAAGAATTACAGTGACACCCAGAGGCATTGCTTTCCACAGGCTGAAATGTAAAGTTCATACACTCAAGGGCACAGAGAGGTCTCTGAACAAAGTTTACAAAGGTAGCACTAGTATCAGATATTACTATCTTGCATTCAAGTATGATATACAGCACTATGTGAACAGATCGCACTACATTAAGAATTATCTTATTAGGCGTATCTGAGAAAAATAAAAAACATCAAAAGTACAAAAATGTGTGCATGCACATTAGGCCCCCCCCCCTCCCCTGCCATCGGCCGAGGAGGACCCCTTCAGCATTACAGTGGGGATGGGGGATAGTGATGGGAAAACATCATCACTCACTGGACCTGGGAGAAAGAGGAACAGACTGACTGTTGTGCTAGGACACACAATGGGGAGGTGGAGGTTGTGTGTGTAAAACAAAGATTGACGGAGGCCGCCAGAGCTATGTCTGATTGAATGTATTATGTGCTGCAAAGCGAAGGAGCATTACCAGAAACCGACTCTGCAATGCTCCCTCACAGTTCTATTCCATTTAAGGTATTATTTTCACTGGGGACAGTATTTTGAAGGGGTGGAACTGGTGAGGCCCCAGATACGTAGGCAACCTCTGGACATTGAATTATTTTAGACATATTTAAAGGTTATTAGCTATAAAAATTAAAAGAAAAGACTGGTAATAAAAAAAAAAAAAAACACAACTACGAAAGACAATGTTGGTATCTAAAGCGCATGCCGTGCATGCGCATTCAGCCGATGACATCGCTATGAAGGAGGAGAGATCCCCGCCCGGCACTGGAGAAAGGTGAGTGTTTAACCCCTTCCTCTCCCCTGAGCCGGACGGGAGGGGGTCCCTGAGGGTGGGGGCACCCTCAGGGCACTATAGTGCCAGGAAAACAAGCATGTTTTCCTGGCACTATAGTGGTCCTTTAAAAAAAAAATAAAAAAAAAAATAAAAAAATAAATAAAAAAAATAACCAACAAAGAAACAGAAGAAAACTAAATTAGCTCAGTTTGGTACTAAAACTCATTGATAAAACTTGGCAAATTTCTTTGAAAAAGCCACTCCAATCTCAAAAATGCAGCGCTGACAACACACACACAAAAAACCCCCCAAAAAACTCAGTTGGGAAAACTGGGCAAATATCTCTGAATAAGCTCCTCCCACTTCAGCGATGGAGTACTGACATCACAATCAGCATCTCAGTTAAAGTGTTGATACTGGTAAATTGTACTGTCACTTGGTGATTGCACTGTATAGCAGTAGTCTTGCAGAGCAGCATCTAATTTCCTTATACCACATTACGTGGATTCTGATACCTGCCGAACATAAGATGCATAGGCAGCAGAATAAAAACAGAAAGCCTTCTAAGTGCCAAGATATGAAGCACAAGAAGGATCAGTCCTGCATCCTATGGACTGGGATATCTAACGAAACACCAATCGTTCGATTTAAAGCAGAAGCTATTACTGGAGAGCCATCTCTGCGCTCGGTGGGGGAACAATACCACCTTTCCTTTAAAATGGGTGGTGCAGGAAGTAACGTGGTTCGCAATATACTCTATGCCCATGGGTTCCAGGAAGTTCAATCCTCCAGTACAGATTTCAACGTGGCATGGACAGGTTTCCTTCAAAGTCAAGAGATCTTGTCGAACATTTCAAGGTTTCAGCGAATAAACCACTTCCCTAAATCTGCAGCGCTGGCCCGAAAAGATTTACTGTACCAAAATATTATAAATCTGCAGCAGAAACACAAGGAGCAGAGTTTTGACTTCCTTCCGAAAAGCTATGTGCTTCCCAACCAATACAAGGACTTCTGCAGAGCAAGTTTGAAAGATCAAGGTCCTTGGATAATGAAACCAGTGTCTTCCACTAAAGGCCATGGAATAAAGCTCATTAACTCACCATATCAGATAAATAGAAAATCGAATGTTCTGGTCTCAAGATATATCAGCAACCCCCTACTCATTGATGGGTTTAAGGTTGACCTTCGCCTCTATGTGCTGGTCACTTGTTACAATCCCTTAATCATATATCTATACGATGAAGGAATCACCAGGTTTGCAACTGCAAAATATGAACTGTCAGATAACACCCTGGGCAACAGGTTCATGCACTTGACAAATTACAGCATAAACAAAGAGAGCCCGACTTTTGTGAGGTGCCAAATTCCGGATGTGGACGACTTTGGTAGCCAGTGGAGCATGAGTGCTCTGTTCCGTTATTTAAAGAACAAAGGTAAAGACACAGTGACACTCATGTCTAAAATAGAGGACCTTGTCATCAAGACAATAATATCAGCCGAAGACTCGATTGCCTCTGCATGTAAATTGAACTTTATTCATAAAAGGGCCTGCTTTGGGGTCTATGGGTTTGACGTCCTCATTGACGAGCACCTCAATCCCTGGCTGCTGGAGGTTAATGTATCTCCCTCTCTCGCTTGTGAGGATCCCCTCAACTTAAAAATCAAGGCCAATTTAATATCTGACACGCTTACCTTAGTTGGAATAGAATGTAAGGATCCCCAGCAGATGAAGAAAGCAGGAAGCACAACATCTCAGAATATTGCAAGTAAGACCAGAACCAACCTGCTCGAAGAGGAGGTGGAGATCTTTCAGTGGGTCAAGGAGGAAGATGCAGAAAGGAGAGGAGGATTTACACGAATCTTCCCCAGGCGTAACACTTGGAAAAAATATGGACATTTACTGAAATTTAAAGTCACAAATAAAGCCATGGCATTTCATCTTTATGCACAGAAGCCAGCAGTGCATGCAAACAGCAGATGTGGACTCCAACCGAGCAGAGAGTCGTATGAGCAGAAGCAAACTTCCTTGAAACAATGCCAGGACCAGATATGCATGTTTGCGGATAACTTAAGGACAAGCCACCAGGGTGCTGGACAAGCTCTCCCTGAAGTGGGGAGCAGAAAACCGGAAAGTATTGCTGCAAAATGTCACCACATCGGAAGGGAAGCTGTCCAGAGTGCTGTAAAAGCTCTCCCTGAAGTGGCGAGCAGGAAACCTAAAAGTATTGCTGAAAGATTTCACGTCAGACAAAGGGAAGCTGGCAAGAGTGTTGGAACATCTCTCCCTGAAGTGGGGCGCAGGAAACCTGAATGTGTGGCTGCCAAATGTCACTTCAGTGGAAGGCAAGCTGACAAGAGTACTGGGAAAACTGTCTTGGAGGTGGTGTGTAGAAACCCTAAAGTAGGAAGCATGAAACCTGAATATTTTGCTGAAAATGGTCACCACAAAACAATGGAAGCCGGCCGGCGCCTAAAGAGCAGCACAAAAGTTGGCTCGAGGACGAATGTTTTGGAGCCAAGCCTTGTCTCAGTTGTGAAAGACCTAGCAAAGATGGAGAATGTTGGGAAAGAACCTCAGGGGCAACAGAACATGCTGCTAATAAGAAGACGTTCCAGAGAGGTTGACAATAAACTGGCAGGCCTCTCATCGAATCCCACACACACCTTCACAGAACTTAAATGTATATAGAGGACCCTGGGATGCAGGAACTTCTACTTGAGCTTCAGAAACAGGTAGTACACCATCACGTTATGTGCATGTATAAGTTATGTTTTCCCTTACAATTTGCAGAGTTGTTCACTAAAGTTGTTGGGAATTCAAAGTGAAATTTAAATGGAAGGCAAAAGTAGCTGAACTGCGAGCATAGCGGAGCGTTGAATTTTTCCAGCTCTGATAGTTTGGCCTTCAATTTAGAATTGCAGACAATTCTCACTCTAGTGCAGGGGTCCTCAAACTCCAGCCCTCCAGATGTTGCTGAACTACAACTCCCATGATTCTCTGGTTATCTAATTCAAAGAATCATGGGAGTTGTAGTTCAGCAACATCTGGGGGGGCCTGAGTTTGAGGACCCCTACTCTAGTAAAGAACCCTTTATGTGTATGTTTGTATGTGCACCCATAATCTGATGGGGGGGTTATTCACTAAACACAGAATTCTTCTAAAGTGAAAACACTCCATGGGACCCCCCCCCAAGCACCATAACCACTACAACACACTGCTCTGCTGAAGCAATGCTGGGATTTCATACTCTCTGGAGAGGGAGCACTGCATAGCCCATAACTAGCTGCCAAGCAGGTGCTCTGGGGGGGAGAATGCTGAACTGAACTACAACTCCCATGAGTCTCCTGCCATCTATTGCATGCAGAGCCTGCTGGGAGTTGTAGTCTGGGGGGCACAGGTTGAAATGTTACGTTTTAGCCCTTTGTTATGAGCTGTAATAGTCTCGTCCCCATAGACTCTTCCACTGCCGAGCTCAGCTCAGCACCTACCTGTCACGGTGTCTCCTGCGGCCCCCGAGTGACGCTCCTCAGACAGTGCTATGCAGCCCTTATCAGTCACTCACATCATATCACCAGCATGAGCTGAGAATCAGCAGAGCCCGTGCGACGGCACCCCATTGGCTGCCATTATCCTACGATGGCCAATCAGAGCAGAGGAGGCTGTTGTCCGTAGTAACCGGGCCGGAGCGTCACTGCGTTGCGCCACTATAAACAGGAAATTGTGTGCGTTCCAAGCCTCCTTCCAGGCGTCATCCGTGATTGGCTGAGCTCTCTGACAGCTCGCCAATGGGCTGGCGAGGTTTTTTTTTTTGGTGTGATCTGATTGGACGAGAGGCAGAGGCCTACTGAAGTGTGTAGTGTTTCACTGTGTGTGCCAGAGAGAGCTGAGTGTTTCCAGTATGGTGAGTGCCCTGTGACTGTGTGTGCTGTGCATGGACTGGGACAGCCTTATCTTATCATTCATTAATGAGGGCAGGGTGCTTCACAGGAAAGGTGCTGCCCTGGGGGTATGTAGCATTCATATACTGCAGCAGCAAATTCCCCTAATTATCCAGGCAGTCCTATTGGGATTTCATCCTGATTCATGAATTGCTCTCTCTCTCCTGCAGCATGTGAATTGTACATGTTACAGGGGGAGCACCTTTCCTGCACTGCCCAACATTATGGAGACCCCCTGGGTGGGTCTGCAGCCTGCACTAGGCCAGGCACTCACACTGGGTTAGGCTGCCCATTTCACACTACTGTACCCATTGTACCGCGCTACAGAATCTGATGGCGCTATATAAATAAAATAATAACTGCCGATCTCCCTGGCAGAGCATCATGGGAGACATAGTCAGTGGCAGTTAGCAGTTACAGGTATTAAACCATTTGCCGTGCCAAGTGCAATGCAAAGAACAGGATCATCAGTTAGGTTTGCCAGATCCACGAACCTAACATATGGACACATAACATATTCACGTTGATTGACAGCACTTAAAGCAGAAACGTCAAATGTGCATCATATAGAGTTTGCACAACTGAATAGCTAACTGAACGTTAGCTATGGGTCACTGTTTATTTACTCAGCAAGTCACGCGAGGTGCACCAATAACCGCATTTAAATTATATAAATCCATGCATTGCCGTACACATGGTGCACGCACAATCTCACTTTAGCAAATAACCCTGTGTGTGTGTGTGTGTGTTTTTTTTTTTTGGTTTTAATTACTCTCTTTAATTCACACAGTCTATCACTGTATTACACATGAGGCATCATATCCATAATTAATTAAAATTATATTATCTCTATAACATATTAAAGTGAAACTTTCAAGTTGAAGTGAATGAATGTGACAGTGATTTCTCTGTTTGATGTGAATATTCAGTTCTGGAGTTTGTTTGGAGTATATTGTATCAGACCTTCTCTTAGTCAATCGTCTGTGATGTTCATTACATATCTTAAATCAATGACATATATATATTTTTTTCTCACACTATTTTAGGCAACCAACTACAAGAAACCAGCACTGGGAGTGTCTGTTCAGAGAAAGAAAACTGGCCCAAAGCCTGAACTCACAGAGGAACAGAGACAAGAGATCAGAGAGGCTTTTGACCTCTTTGATACTGATGGTACTGGGAATATAGATGTAAAAGAGCTGAAGGTAAAATAAAACAATAAAAAAAAAAAAAGTTATACATTCACAAAAGTAAAAATTGTAATCAGAAACTTGTAACATGTCAGAAATTATTGTAAAATTCCTTGCTTGTTTGCTTGAGGTTCTGTGAAAAGCATTTTTTCCCCCTGCCTATGCGTATACTTGTATGTTACATGTATACTTGACTTTGTTTTTAGGTTATTGTCTTTTTCACATATATTGTTGCATCATGCTGTTACCACAATATCCTCCTTTATGAATCCACATTGTATCAAATCGATTTGCTTAAGAGTAAATGAGGAATTTCTGTATAAAGTTTAGCACCTACAGGCATGACGTTCTTGTCCCTTTCATTTAGACAATCACGAAATAATCATTGTATTCTGTTTTTACAATTGCTGTTGAATATTTTGAACTATAGGAAAGGGGGGAGTATGATGTGAAGTGAGGTGGTAAGCCACGTTGTTGGTTAGGTGTAAGACATAGTCTGCAATTTTGGTCCCACCCCTAGAGAGGCTATCTTCAGAGATGCATTAATACATTAACAAAATTTCAAATAAGTGCTTTTAGAATAATATGTTCAATAATACTTTTCAAAAGACATTGGAAATGCAGAGCAGGGCAATAGGTGACAAAGTAGAAAGAAACATCCCAATGGATGTAATAAGGTACACAATGGTGCATTTTCCTGTAGAATGAGGATACTTAGAACAAAATGCAATACCAAATATTGGAGGGAGGTATATGCATGGGTAATGACAGGAAATGCGCTTTATACGGATGGCACTATAGGTGCTATCTTTAGCAGGAAATAATAAATAATAAAACCTTTACTTTTTTTTAAGAGAACCATGGACACCTTTTATCTGCTCTTAAAGTTAATGCTTACTGTCACTCCTTTCCTTTTTTTAATACAGTTTCTTTTAACTTTGTATTCACACCACCCCATTCCTTTTCCTGTTGGTGTACCCTTCTATACCTGCCCTTTGGGCAACAGGATCTCCTCTCATAACATCAGTCAACATTTGTTTCCAGATAGCAACCAAATCGTCTTCTCTGCCACTTCCCACCTTTTGCTAATTTTCTTGCATTTGAAGGAACATTAAATGGTAGAAATTACATAACATGAATTCTGTATTAATCTTCTCCAAATGAATCCTGCGCACCATGAAGCCATATTCCCATTGTGATCAGTAGTGCTCAGTATGTGACATCTTGCAATTCAGAGACAAGACTGAGTGTAAAATTTGTATATGTAGATTTCCGTGTTGAAACATGTTCAAATTCTGTAAACGCAATATCATTTACCATTCTGTATCTTTTACTACTTATTTGGAAAAGGTTTGTTTTCAAGAGATTGCTTTACTTGTATCTGTATAGCATTAATATATTCATTTTAGGCTTTACGTGTGTATATGAATGGTGTATCTCTTCTTTATTGTGTGCAGGTTGCCATGCGTGCTCTCGGGTTTGAACCCAAGAAAGAAGAAATCAAGAAGATGATTGCTGATATTGATAAAGAGGGCACTGGAAAAATCACTTTCAGTGATTTTATGTCTGCCATGACACAGAAGATGGTAAGAATTGATTTTTGTTGTCTTGTTATTTCTGTTTGATCACTTTCATGTCCGCTTCTAGGGCTGTTAGTAAAACCTAGCACATGGTAATATCAGTTTACACCACTAGATGGCCTGGCATCCTCCAACTGCTATAGTAGGCATTTATCAAATCTTACTTTGACATAAGAAAATACCACATACTGAACACTGTGTACAGTAAAGAGAAAAAACTCGCCAGACAATGGTTGATGATTATTTTAATGTACGGAGATGATGTAGAAAAACATCCTGCACAGAAATACCTTGAATGCCCATTGTTTGCTGCATAGTCCGAAGTAATTGCATTTTCTTAAAAGCAATCTAAATCTTGTTCCTCTCAGGTTTTTTAATTGGATGTGTTATGAATCCTGTAGATACCCGAGCTTCACAGCCTCCATAAACTTTCTGAGTAACTTAAAGAGTATGACTCAACTTAAGTGCATTTAAAAGTGTTTTTTTACAGCTTTTTGCTGCATGATGCCACTCTTTTAGCCACGCCTACCTTTTTCACAAAGCGTCCTCCTGATTGGAAGGTAAAGTTTGTATGTAATACAGCCATTGAGAGAGTAGTGTGAGCTGAGCTACTGGTTTGATAATACTCCATAACCTATCACTTTTTTATTATCTTTATATCTTTTTCAAGCTATGCTAAGGGGAAAGAGCACATAATAAGAATACATGTAATGTATGTAATAATGAAAATATCCACCACCTTCCAGTCCACGGCATAAAAATTATAAGCTCTCCTGGAGGCAAAGATAGTGTATGAAAGATTCTGTGTCTTGATGTGGATCTCAAACACATAAAACACAAATAATCTCTGCGGGAAGCATGCAGATACAGAATAGCCAGCTGCAGTCTCTTGTTGATCCCTGCAGTGAGACTTTTCTCGTGTTATTCACAAAGGGTTCCACAACAGATTCCAGTCTTCTGTGTTATGGTGTGGAAAGCAC